AAAAGGGCAAGTGACACACACCACTCTGTCTTCACAGTACTTCCTGACTCAAGCCCACAACCTCCAACAGGGAGCCATCACTGTCCCTCTCCTTGAAGTGGCCCAGGAGACCTAATGTTACCAGATGTTTTATGTAGCAGCAAGAAACAGACCAGTACTTACTAAACTCTAAGCAGACCTGAGAACCCACTTCACTATGGTACTTCCTGCAAACTTGGAGCTTACCAACAAGCTTGTGGGACTCCGTGAGGCAAGTCATTTCAGGACTCTACCTGCTGCACAGCCTCTGAACAGCTCCTGATTGGTCCTCCTCTTCTACCAACAGACATTATGCTTGCTCCCACCAATTGCTGCTGACCTTTATTGCCACCATGTTTTGTTGTGTCCAAACTTAAAACTGTTGTTCATCTTTCTGAAGTTATCTTTATTCTAGAAATTCACAATTGATTCAACAAAGGAAAGCCTGGTTTAGTTTTGGTTTGTTTTGAGACAGGGTCTCACTATGTAGCTGACCTGGAACTCTCTTTGTAGACCAGGCTAGCCTTGAACTCACAGAGATCCACCCGCTTCTGCCTCTGGAGTGCTGAGATTAAAAGCATGTACAATCATGTTCAACAAATGAGCATCTTATGATTTTTTTTTTTTTTTACTCCACAGGTTAAAGTCATTTGAGTATCTTCATATATGTAGGAAAAAAAAAAAGCATATGACAAACCACAATATTCATTCATAAAACTTCATAGTAACCATCTCCAGAAAGGACCCCTAGTAATCTGGACAAGGTGGCTGAAAACGTACTGCCAATACCTCTTAGGTTGGAAGCATCCTCTTCAAAAGCCAAAAATGGGCCAATGACGCCTTGGTGTTCATACATAAGGCTCCAGCAGCTCAGCAAGCAAGGGACTGGGGTACACTGATGTACACTTCCAGCCTTGATCCTTTGTCCCCAAAAGCTTCCAACAAAGTAAGCAAGAGATTAGACCCAGAGTCACCTGCTATGGCGGGTGTCCTTACCACTGTACAAACACAGGCATGTTCAGAATAGAGATGAGCCCCTGGCTCCTCTTGTAAAGTTGCAAAGATACCCCCCCCTTGAATGTTTAGGGGAATGGTGTGGTTGTGTGGTTTAGCTTTCTAAAAGCACACACGTTGTAAATGTGAAGACATTTCTTTCCCTCATTTGACCATCTCTGAAGCTTAGCTTCTCTCTGTTACCAACCACCTCTGTTTAATGTGTGGCCTTTTCCCCCCTTAATAACACAATCAAATACAACATAGAATGCAATGTGACAACCAGAATGCAATGTGACAGCAAAACTTGTATATATTTAGACAGTACTTCTTCAAAGTAAAAATGAGATTAGTAGACTCTAGAATCAACTGCATAACATTATTTACAATGTTTCAGGAAAACAGTGGTGCACTTAGTCAAAGGCTTCCCAAGAATACCACCAGAATGAGAGCTGGAGGAGACTGGGAGCACAAATAGGGCAGGAGGCAGTTGCTCTTCCTCAGCTCCTGGCTTAAGTCCCTCAGCTGAAATATGCTCACCATTCCTCCAGTAAAGAGAGATGGCATTGTCCTTTAATGCCTGCCCCATGACTTTTATTATGTTTCAACTGTGCAGAAATCCCTAGGAGGAGAGGCTGCCCTTCAGATCGCTTACATCATCCAGGATCTTTGTCTGACCTGAAGAGTCCCTTCTAGAAACACTAACAGGACTGACCAGGCTTCACCCTCTGAGCAGCCCACAGCACAGTACCCATGCCCTCGGGTCACTGTGTTGGAGACCTTAGATCAGCCTCTAGACCCAGACCCAGAAGGGGCAAAGCTGGTAGGAGTGGCCCGCCCCAGTTCTGTTTGGAAGCTAGTAGGTACATGAGCCCTGGCTCCTTCCCTGGAGGTGATCATGACCTTGAGGACCTCAGGACTGTTTCCCAGAGCTCAGGCAGTATTCTGGTCACCCATACCCACCCAGCATATCCATTGTGTCTTTCTAGTGGGACAAATGAGACACTTACACTCGATGGGTAAGCCACAGTCCAGTCCTCTGTATTTAGGCTCTGCCAGTGGTCGCCTGCAGTCCATGCCATTTCACTACTTGCTTATTTTTTGTCCTCCCTGTTTCATACCTAGAAAAGCATGGTCCACCCTGAATAGCTTTTACGCCTCTTAGTCTAGTGACCTCCCTGATACAAGTTCCCAAAGGCAAAGGAGGGTTTCCATGTCCACCCTCAGTGGTCCAGAACTGGCAGCTGATAGGGTTTAGACTGGAAACCAGGACACTAGAATTCAGAAGTTCATCCATAAGATGCCAAATGGATGCAGGCCCAGGGATCTACACCTTCACAATAAGGGAATCTTTTCACAACTGGCTCTGGGCTGCTACTGGCCTTTGAAGATTCCCAACTCTGAATTCAGAATGTGATCGGTGGGTATGCACAGCTTCAAGTCCTGGCTGGGACCAGCAGGGATCTGAGTCCTGTAATCCTGTAATAAGGCTGGTAGGCAGCTCTCTCCAGAAAGGTGTCAGTCTTGACAGGCGTGCCTCAGCCTTGTCCTCAGAGCGAACACTGCTGAGTAACAGGAAGCACACTTTCTGGCGTGAGGTGAAGGAGTGGATACATCCCACCTGCTAGACCACCAGGGCCATGTCCACCCTGAAGGGAGAACTCTGGGAACGAGTTGCATAATTGGGCTGGCTCAGTGGAAGGATCTGAAGAGACTATTCCTGGCTGGGTGTTTTGAGTCAGAGGGACAAACTAGCCAGCTGGGCGCTCAGCTGACCAGCAGTTTCTGCTCACCTTTGGTGGCCGCTGCCATTACATGCTCTTGGCCAGCAGATGAAGACCTGCCACTCAGATATAGCTCCACTATGAGGGGGTAGGCTGGCACACACCCTGCTTTCCTGAAATGTACATTCGGTTTTCATTTTCCTGTGGTTTCAGGATTGTCAAGGCACTGGCCATGGTTGTACCTGCCTATGGTTTGCCCAGAGCCACTCAGATACCTCAGATTTGAGAGCAACACCAAAGCAATGGTGAGACTTAAGAGGCAGCAGCTTGGCTGGGTGTAGTGGCTCATGCCGGTAGGGCCAGGACTCAGCAGGGTAAGGTAGGAGAGTTGTTTTGTGTCTGAAGCTAACCTAGGCAACACAAGTAGTTCCGGGTTAGCCAGGGCCTGCAAGAAGCAGACTTGGTGGGGGAGAGCTCAGGACCACCAGATCCTCTGCACGTCAGTATTTCCACACTGAGAGAGGGTCTGACCTCTTGAGAGTGGCAGTTGGGACTGGGTTTAAGTTTAAACAGCCTAGGCTGAGGGATTCTGTACAAGTTCCTGTGAGAGACAGGCACTATCCCTGGCAGTTATGCTTCACTGTCTGCATGTGATACCCCCAAAACGAACTATTTAACTTAAACAAACAAACAAACAAACAAACAACAACCCACCTAGCTGGGCATGGTAATGTATGCCTTTAATCCCAGCACTTGGGAGGCAGGGGCAAGTGGACCTTTGTGAGCCTAAGGCCCTCCTTGGAGAATAGCAAGCCCTAGGCCAGTTAGGGCTTCATAGTGAAGATTTTGTCTCAAAGCAAAACAAAACCTATCTGCTTTCCATTTTCCAAGAGGCACGGGGCAGAGGTGTCAATGGACGTCGACAGGCAGTTCCGTGCAATGTTGTCTCTTCTGTTTTACTTGGAGCAGATGGAGCAGTGAGGGCCACAGGACAGCAGTTTTCCTGGGGCCGTTAGTTGTCTTGGCTTGGATGGCTGGGCATAGCTCAGTCTCCCCTTCCTCCCAACCAGAACAGCCTAACCCAGGGCTGTCACTGTGAAAGTCCTGGTCCTCATACACACACAACCAGTACCTCTGCAGCCCAGTTGGCCCTTTCTCTCCAGCTCCAAGGAAGCAGCAGGAAAGAGGGGCTTGTCCGTGGCAGCGAGCTGTGACTCCAGGGGACCTTTGTGAGCCCTCAGTATAACTCCAGCCTTAAGCAAAAAAGGTTACTGTGGAAACAGCCACAGGTTTTATCAGTGCCATCGACAGCGACAGGGTTGAGAACCCTGCAGAGGCAACTGGACAGAACAGCTTGGATGGTCTGCTCCTCCCTGCCCTAAATAAAGATAGTTGTCTGGATTTCTAAACAAAGTCCACCGTTTTCCCAAGGCGCATCAGGATTACAGGGGCCTCTGGCACCACAGGAAAGTCCTTTGGGACCTTTGCAGGCCTCGCTCAGCCATCAGTTTCTTCTCTTTATTGGTTGGGCAAGAGGCTGCTGGCAAGAGGCTAGGGCTTAGTCCCCATGGCCGCTGCCTTCAGCTTGACAGCGACAGTCTCCCTCAGCAGGCTCATTTCGAAGCTCAGCAGGAACTGCCCAGCCACCACCCTTACTTTAGCTCTTGGTGCCAGCTGCACATCACCTCCCCCGCTCTCCCACCCGAGCAGCATTTTGCCTCCAGCTCCTTGAACATCGTATACTCTAAAAATAATAATGGAGTAAAACATAAAACGAGTGTAAAGTTTCCATTTGATCACAACGTACCACATTCACCTTAGAGTGACAGTAATTTCTAAGTTTCTTCCTAGCAGTCCTATTATCTCATTTTAATTTCTTTCTTATGGAATTTTCTTTATGCCAGTCCAAAAGAGCCTCTCAAAAGTCCTCGGTGTCAGGGGAGAGTGAGATATAAGGAGCACATCCAGAAGTACCTTGTCGGCTGCTTTGTAAGAAGTAGGAAGATCTATTTTTGTCCATTTCAAGAACTGAATGAAGCTGTGTCTTCTTTCAGAAAACAGATTGGTGTGAACATGGCTTTAGGAAGGTTTAAAATGTTTGTGAGATACCTACAAGCTCCAGTCATCAAATATAATATCGTATGAACAGGAAAAAACAAAAGCGAAAAACTAAAATGAAAGAGATACTTAAAGACCAGAAGTTACCAGGAGCATCCGCGGCGGGAGGAACTGTGGCACAGGCCTGAGCCCAAGAGGTTCCATGGTCTAAGACAGGTAGTACATGCCATAAGCTGCGACGGGCCCGGCGAGGATCCCAGGAACAGCACTGCCACCGAAAGTGCCCGCGGAGCTGTGCAGCTGGGTGCCCAGCGGGAAGGGCAGGGCAAACGCCGGCAGTAGAGGCTTGGATGCCAGCTTCAGCTTCTCCAGCTCGGCCTCCTGCAGCCGCTTGGCCTTGGCCCTGCGGTTCTGAAACCAGATCTTGACCTGAGTCTCAGTGAGGCTCAAGCTGCTGGAGAACTCCGCGCGCTCCGCAATGGACAGGTACTGCTTCTGGTGAAACTTGCGCTCAAGCGCCAGCAGCTGCGCGGTGGTGAAGGGCGTCCGTGGCTTGCGGTTGGTTTTGTGTTTTCGGAGGGTGCAGGGTGGAGGGCTGGGGGCACCTGAAAGGAAAGAGAAGCACAGGGCGAGCACTCAAGCGCTGGCTGCACACCCCTAGCCCGACACCGCCCCACCCCTACAAAGGAAGACTGGAACTCCTCGCCTCCGTGGACGCCTGCTCCGCTCAGAGTAAGGAGGTTCCCCGAGCCACGTGGATAAGCCAAGCAAGGAGGCAGAGAAGCGGCTCCAGACTCAGGCCTGTTCTCCCAACCCGTGACCTCGTACCCCAAGGAAACTGGGGTCCAGCCAGTTGGAAAAAGAGCGAAGCCGGGGAGGGAGGCGGCTGCAGTATCTGAGGATGGGGTAGAGGTCAGGGCTCCAAGGAGTCTAGTTAGTTGTCGCGGGCATTACGGAAAGTGGGCAGGGGATGCAGGAGAGTGCGCGAACCGGGGCGGAAAAGCATTAGGGGGCGTCTGTTCTGGGCTGCGAACCTCCCCCAGGAAGAGACGTGGATGCGGCCGTCGGGCGTGTGCACAATGCCTGGCTCCCGGCGCCGGTTATCTTTACACTGAGCGGGTTAGTGACTAGTAATTTAAGTTCAGAGCCGCAGCGCGCAGCGCGCATCCCGCCCCCCTGGACTTCCCAGCCTTGACAGCGCGCGCGCTTTTCGGGGCCTGGGACCTGGAGATTGAGCACTTACGTGGGGGGCACGTGTGCGCGACCGGTGGGGGCCAGGCTCCGGGCTTCGAGGTGCCCGGAGGCCTCTCCTCCCCGAGTTCCCCAGGCTCGGAACCCCGTACGCGCTCAGCCTCCAGCAGCGACTCGACGCTGAAGGGGAGTGGTCCGTTGCCTAGGTGGCCCCCGCCGCGCGCTCCGTGCCCCGCCGCGTTCATATCCAGTGTCGCCCGGGCCATGCATGGGATGGCGAGCGTTGGGGGCTAGCCGCCCGGCTGGGACGCGTGGGACGCGGAGACGGCTTGTTTCTGTCGGGGGCCCTGGGCACGGTGGCTCTGGGGCCCCTCCGCACCCTATAAAAAGGTGGCACCGCTTTCATGCGCCGCTACCCAATGGTCGTTTCTGCCGACGTGCGGGCCTCAGTGCGGGTTGGATTCACTGCTTTCGGGGGCGGGGCCGACAGAGAGGGGCGGGGCTGCTGCCTGGGAACAGAGTGCCCCGAAACCTGGGGCAGCATTGTCGCGCCCACGTCAGGCTTTCGGGACTACTGCCGTCTGTGGGAGCTCTTACCGTGCTCCTCCCGCAGGAAAAGGCTGAGGGAGTGCCCACGTACTGGCGAAAAGATGGCCTCAGCCACCTGGCGCGGAGGACTAGACTGCGCGCGGGCGCGGGCGGTGTGGCTACGTCCAGGCTTCAGTTCTCGATCTTGTTCCGACAGTGAGCCTCGGCGCTTGGGAAAAGCGCAGCTATGGGCTCCTCCTACCGTGATGTTTAATGAGGCTGGTCTTGCTGTGTCCCAGGCTTGTGCCTGTTTTAGCGTTCTCTCTGCACCCTGGGGTTCGAAGGGGACCCACACGACTCTGCTTCTGATCTCTTGAGGCCGAGCTGTGATGTCTGCAGTCTCAGGGACCTCCAAATTTGTTTCTGGGCCGTTAGTAACTTCCAGGACTGAGCTTGCTTCCCATTTGGGCCAGGAACCGGCTAGTCAGATGCTTCATGGATCCGGAGGGCAGAGGCCAAGGCAAGGTGGTGGAGGCAGACCTCTTAGCCTTAGAGGAAGCTAAGGAAGCTAAGCCCAGGCTGCAGGCACCGCAGGCTGCTCAAAGCCAGGAGGCAACTGGATGCGGGTGCATTGTCTTCTGGTGCACTGTATTCGCTCGGCTGAATCGCTGATGCAGATTCGCGAAAGGCCCCCAGAGAGGGGTCTCCAGACACAGTCTTTCCCTGACCTGGGCAAGCAGGGTGGGAACCTCCTGATCGCTCTTGAAGGTGCCTGAAAATCCCAGCTGAGGATTCTCTCGGTTCCGGAAGGGTGGGGCCAAAGCCAGATAGAGTTCCTCCCTCCTGGTTATGCTTTTTCTCCAAACTTCATGGCTTTTTTGTTGTTGTTGTTGTTGTTGTTGTTGAAAAAACGTTCTCCTACGCTGCAAAGCGAACTGTGGCGCTGCAGCCTCTTTCCATAGAGAGAAACCCGGACTCGGATTTTGAAAATACAGCAGAGATTGAATTAGGAAATCAAGTCCGATTAATATGCTAGAGCACAAAATTAACAATCTAAATCTCTCTGTTTTAGACAGTCAAAACTACTTTAATGGAGTACCCCTTTGGGGCTCAGTCTAACGGTTGAGATCAGGCAGAGAAATTAATTAGAAAGGTTTTTGTTTTTGTTTTCATGTGAAATTTGAAGCTGCTCCAAGAGGCTAGCAGAAGGTTCCTGGCTGCTAGGCCTAATCAATTTTTCCTATATTTCCAGACTGGCCAGACTGCTGATCTCTTAGAAGGCAGCTAGCTAGCTAGCTAGCTATGCGCACCGCTCTGCTACCAACACTTGCCTGCTGCTCTCTAATTTAACAAAGATGTTCTGAGTTGATTGATGATAATTGCATCCTTAAAACACTGGCAAGAATGTTCAAAGAAGATAAACAAACAAACAAAAGGAATGAAGGGCAGCTTGCCTGGGCCTGCCTGGCTGGAGAAAGCAGAAGTCTGTGCTTTGGTCTGGCCCAGGAAAAGGGACAGGATTATGGGCCAGAAACAGGTCCACTGGGCAGCGTCCTTCCTGCCAGCCAGTATACAGTCTGACCTCGAGTTCTCAGCACCCCACCACCACCCCACTTCCTAAAGGGATTCTGATGTCAGTTCTGAGCAGCTCTGCCCAGCACAAGCGGGGCTGGCTCCTGACTGGTAAAAGCACCAGCGAAGAGGAAAAGGGGAGGGAAAGAAGCCGGAAGAAAGAAAGAATCAGAAGAGAGGCAGGAAGGATGGAAAGTGTGTGTGTGTGTGTGTGTGTGTGTGTGTGTGTGTGTGTGTGCGCGCGCGCGCGTGCGCTCGCGATCTCTTCCAATAGACATGAAGACCTAGACCTCAGCATAGCACAAACATGTCCCCTGCAGGATATCTGCAGTTCCCTCTTTCCCAGTCCATATACAAAGAGCTAGCAAAAAAGCCTGGGCTACAGGGTAGCAGTGGTTCGGTGTGAAGGGCCCCTTTCTGCCACGTGGGCACTGAAATCCCATATGCACAGGTGGCATCACTGTCTTTGGCCAGTTGAAGGGATAGAGATGCCTGTAGGTACCAGACCTCTAGTTTTACTAGGGATCATGTTTTCTTGCTCCTGCACACTTATGATTTTGTCTTTGCTTGTTTTATTTTGAGAGAGGGTCCCTTTACATATCTCTGGCTGTTCTGAAACTCACAATGTAGACGAAACTGGCCTGGAACTCACAGAGATTTCCCTGCTTCTGCCTCCCGAGTGATGGAATTAAAGGCATTGGCCACAATGCCTGGCACTTGCGATTTTTTGTTGTTGTTCAATGTCATATGATGAGTGTATCACATTATTGGGTACTGGACATTTTTGTGTATCGATAAGTGGTTGCTTTCATTCAGCATGCTTGTTAAGGCTTGTGTTCTTTTAGAGATCAGAAATCCATTATTGTCCTGACTCCGTATAAGGAGTAACAGCTCGGGGAGTCACACATGCTAAATAAAAGTCTAAGAAGTACATCTAAAGCGTTAACTCAGAGGATATTTTGAAATAAATAGTTCTGGAGGTACCAGCCGTGGCTGGCTGTCCTGGGACTTACTTTGTAGACCAGGCTGGCCTCGAACTCACAGAAATCCTCCTGCCTCTGCCTCTTAGAGTGCTGGAATTACAGGTGTGCACCAAGGTGCCTGGATACAAGGTATCTATCTACTCTTTGAGATGCTCTAAGGTGGCTATATTTGCAAAGACATCAGACATGAACATTACTTTCATGCAAAACTCCAAGTCCAGAACAGCAGCAAGTTCCTCACTCCACAAAACATGCTAGCAAATTCATTTCCTGTTTATATTTATTTGTTACTTATTTATTGTTTAAATTTTTCATACAATACATTTGGTCATATTCTTTCCCCCCTCTGCCAATTCCTCCAAGATGGCAACCTCCTGAGCCACCCAACTTCATGTTCTCTCTCTCTCTCAAAAAAAAGAAAGAAAAAGAAGGAAAAACAACAACAAAACAAAACTCAAATAAGAAAATCAGTACTAGAAAAAAATGCTGAAACAAAACAAAACAAAAAAACGTGTAGTCCGTTTTGTGTTGGCCAAATACTCTTGGTCTGTCCTGGGGTAGATGTATCCAGTTACACTCCACTGGAGAAAGCCGATATTCTTATTCCCAACAGGTATGGATTGTAATAGCTTCTTGGTTAGTTAGGCATGGGGCTTTGTTTTCAGTGCTGGGATTTCTCGTCTGGTTTGAGCTTGTACAAGTCTTGTGCGTGCTGTCAGAGTTTCTGTGAGTTCATATGTGCAGCAGCCTGGTTGTGTCTGGAAGACACTTTCCTTGGAATCATCCACTACTTCTGGCTCTTACAGTCTTTCTGCCCCATGGTCTAATTGTGGATCTCCCTGCTAATTAACATCTACTGGAAGAAGAAGCTTATCTGATGAGGGCTGAGTGATGTTCTGTTACATGGGTATAGCATTATATCATTAGGAGTCGTTTTACTGCTATTTTCTTTAGCAGAAGAATAATACTAGTTTTTTGTTTTGTATTTTGTTTGTTTTTGCTTTTTTTGTAGGCATATGCCCTATCCAGTCTCAGGTTCTTGGCCATTTTAACAATGTCATGTATGGGTTTCATCTTGTGTAGTAGGCCTTAAATCCAATCAAAAAGTGTTTGATTGCTCCTATAACAATTACGCCACTAATGCATATTTGTTTTTTTTGAGACAAGTTCTCTCTTTGTAGACTGTGCTGGCATTAAGCTTACAGCACTCCACCTGCCTTTGAGTCTTGAGTTCTTGGATTCAAGGCATGAGCCACCATGTCCAGTTCCTCATTTACATCCAGTTCCACATTTACTGTTTTAAAATTTTAATTTACTAGCCAGGCACAGTGACGCTGGCCTGTAATCCAAGCACTCCGGGAGGCAGAGGCAGGCAGATCACTGTGAGTTTGAGGCCAGCCTGGTCTACAAAGTAAGCCTCGGATAGCCAGGGCTACACAGAGAAACCCTGTCTTGGAAAAACAAAATTAGTTTCCTTCTATTGTGTGTATGGTTAGGGACTTGCATTTGTCATGACATAGGGGTAGAGGTCAGAGATGACTCTGTGGAGTCACTTCTTTTCCTACCCCCTTGATATGCATTCCAGGCATCAAACTTTGCCTGGGAGGCTTTCAAGGCAAGTGCCTCTACCCACTTATCCATCTTGTCAGCCCTCACTACTCCTTTTCTTTTTTTTTTTTAATTTTGTTTTACAATTTATTTTGTAATTTTTTTTATCTTTTTGTTTTTTTGTGGTTTAAACATATTAACTGTCAATATAAACCATTGGGGGAGAAGTAGATGCACATGGCAAGTTTCACAGCTGGCGGGCAGCCTTCACATTGCCCTCTCAGGTCTTGTCTGTATTTGTTTGATACAAAAATCTGTGTAGCCTTGGCTCATGTCTTAGTTACCTTTTTGTTGCTGTGAAGAGACAATATGATCAAGGGAACCTTGTAAAGGAAAGCTTTTGTTTTTGTTTTTTTGTTTTTCAAGGCAGGGTATCTCTGTGTAGCCCTGGCTGTCCTGGAACTCACTCTGTTACCAGGCCAGCCTGAAACTCACAGAGATCCACCTGCCTCTGCCTCCCAAGTGCTGGGACTAAAGGCGGCACCACTACCACCCGGCTTAAAGGAAAGCATTTATTTGGGGGTTTATTTACAATTTCAGGGGCTAAGTCCATTATCATCACGGTGAGGAACATTTGCAGCAGGCAGTCATGGTGCTAGAAAAATGGCTATGGGCTACATACCTGGACTGTAGACAGAGAGAGAGAGAGAG